GGTGTTTTTGTATATGAAATAATAATCAGTCCCAGAAACTGTGTCAAGAAGGGGACACTACTTGAATGGGAATGGAATGGAAAAATATTTAACTATTAAGTTGGAAGATATCAGCCATTGGATACTCATTAATTTTCAAAGACTTGAAATCCCAAATGACACTTACACCAGAATCCCTAGTTTCTAAATCTTGCTTTACGCATTTCGTAGACCTCCCTGAGGTTAAGGCTGTCATGACTCATGGTGTTTGGATATCTTTTGCTTATAGGGTGAGGGAACCTTCAGCTTGCTGGACAAGTAGGAACCCATTTTCCTAGGTGGGCTTTGTTAAAGAGGAAAAACTGAAAACTGGTACAAAATTAATACAGAAGCCTTGTCATCTCCAAGTAAATTTATATCTAAGACCAGTTATTTGAGTACAAGTGAAGGAGTCAACTTGATATCCTTCTTGCCAGTGTTGATCACCTTCTATAAAGTAAGTAGTATGTAGTCTCCTGGGAGTACTTGTTGAAAGGGGTGTTGAGGGTAAAGATAGTCAAAGAGAAAACAAATGATTAATAGTCCTAAAAGTGGAGTCATCCTAACTATAGCCAAGTACTGACAACCACTTACGTTTGTGAACCTCAACTGAGCCAAGGTTTCCTGTCATCTGAGCCAAGGTTTCCTGGCCAGTGCCACTACTTCAAAAGCCTCTGCTAGTGTCTGTGTCACATGATCATTTTGGGGCAGAAAATGACAAGGACTCTCTATTGCAGGGTCAGGTCCCATCTATACCATGATAATATGGGGACCTCCCTTGAGAGGCACTGTATTGACAGTTAGAGCCTACCCCCTAGTCAAATTACATACCCTCCCTGGTTTGAGATGAGGAGATCATAACTTGTCGAGTGCTGGAATATGTCTCTGAAGTTCTGGGGGAATCAAATCCCAGAAGTGCAGAAACAGGTGGCAAGTGTTGTTCTTTGGGTGTTCGTAGGGGCTTTGACATAGGGAATCCGAATAAAGATTCCTGATTCCCCATATCTATCTCATGGTAACTCCTCTTCAGAGAAGTTTAATCTATTTTATATTTTGTTTTGACAAATTGAATTTCAAAATAATGTTTTCTGACTCATTGTATCTCTCTCTGTCTCTCTCTCTCTCTTTCTCTCTCTCTCTTACACACACATACACACACACAACCCACCACCCCAGGAACACCTGCATTGCTGGTGAGCAGAGGCATGCAGGACTTGAAGTGGGTGTTCTTCCCCACTCCCCACCCAGGAAGCTTTGCTCCCACCCACCACCACCACCACCTACCCCCACCCCAGTCGCCTTCCCCCTCTCTCCTGCTCCTAAGCAGATAAGAAGTTGGTGATTCCCCCTCCTGCTGCTTTGATTTCAGGCACCTCCAACAGATAATTTGGTAAGGTTTCCAGAAGGTGGGAAATGTCACCTGATTCACACTGAACTTTTAAAAGCTGCCCACCCCCAAGGAGTCAGGCACACCCTCAATCAAAATAATAATTAATAATATTAATATTTTCTTAGATAAAACACATTTTACTATATTTGATCTTACAAGTTGTTTCAATTTTTTTTTCAAACACAAAACCTCTGTTAAAATGAATTTTTTTAAATCAATTTTCCACAATATTAAGACTATTGGTATGGCACTGTGGGTTAATACGCTGGACTACAAAGTTCTTTTAACTGTCAAATCGGTGGTTCAAGATCACCAGCCACTTCTCAGACACTCTATACAAGATCACTGTGGATCAGAATCAATTCAACAGCACTTAACAACAACAACAACCTTAACCTTGTACTTTGTTTTCAGGAAGGAATAAAAAAACTTAGATTTTAGAATACCTTATGGAAAATGTTAGTTATGGCTATAACATGATGTAAAAATAGGAGCTTAGTAATAGAAATCTCTCAGAATCAAGTAAAAGAAAGAGACTATACCTAACTTAAAGTTAAAGTTTATAAAGCATTATATAACATACTCACCAGAAGACAAATAAACTTATTTTTCAAAACTTTAGACAGCCCTAAATATAAACAGAAATCTTGGTGTGGTGCTGTGAGTTAATGTGTTTGAATCACAAGGTTGGTTGCTCAAGCTCACCATTCACTCCTCGGAAACCCTATACAGGGTTGCTATGGGTCAGAATTGATTTGGCACTTAAGAACAGCAACAACAAATATAAACAATCTATGTTGGAAGAAGTACAATCAGAACACTCTTTAGAAGCAAGGAGATGCTACACTTGAGCCCATTCCTTCTGCCACTGTGTCAATCCATGTCTCTTTCCTTGTAAATAAGGATCTGAATGATGCTCAGCATCATGTGTAACTAGAAAATTAAAACTGAAATAAGATCATCATTGCATACCAATTATTTTTATGTGTCACTGAGTCAGTTCTGACTCCTAAAGATGCTGTATAGATTCGAAGGGACTACTAGCAGTATTGAACCATGAACCTAGTTGCTAGTAATCTTGCTCTCATCCAATAGTGCCACACCAGGAGCATATTCATTACAATCGTTAAATTCCAAACCTGATCTCAAATGCTGCTACTAATGTGGACAATAAGAACATTCATTAGTTGCTAATGGGAATGTAAAATAGTAAAGACACTTTGGAAGAAAGCAGAAGTTTCTTAGAAAATTAAACATAGTGATACTGTATGATCAGCACTGAGCTGCAATCCAGAAGGTTGACAGTTCAAACCTACTAGCTGCTCTCAGAAACATAATGTATTGTTGCTAGGAGTCCAGGTATGGTGCTGTGGGTTAATGTGTTGGATGCGAAGTCAGTTTGAACCACAAGGATGCAAATTCAAACTCACCAGCTAATCCTCAGAAACCCTATACTGGGTCAAAGTGAGTCATAATTGACTTGCTGGCACTTAACAACAACTTGAGTCAGAACCATTCAATGGCAGTTAACAACAACAGGAATCATATGAACCATCAATTTTATTCCTAGGTATTTATCCAACTGACTAGAAAAGTTAACATTTCCACCAAACCTACATTTAAATATTTGTAATATTTAACTCATAATCAAAAACAATGTTACCAAGAAGTCCTTTAGTAATGTGAATGGATAAACATGCAATATATAAATATAACAAAATCTTATTCAGTGGCAAAAACAAATGACTTATCAAGTCGCAAGATGGCAATGATGAATTAAATATGAAAACACTTTATATTATATGAGTATGATTCCATATTGCATGATTCCAATTCTATGAAAATTTGGAAAATGTAAAATGATTACTTAATATGTACAAAGTTTGTATTTGAGATTATGAAAAAGTTCTGGAAATTGATATTGGTGATCATTGCACAACATTGTAAATGTAATTAAAGTCTCTAAATTGTACACTTTAGATTGTTAAAATGGATAATTGTATGTCACACATAGTTTACCAATATCTACTTGTAAAAAAATACAATAATAATAGGAAAGATCCAAGAACATATGGCAGAGTCATATCAGTTTCTGTTATGCAATTCCTTTACACTGTATTTTGTTGTTTTTCATAAGTGCTGTCGAGTCAGTTCCAACTTATAGCGACCCTGTATAGGGTTTCTGTCGAGCTGCTGGTGAGTTTGAACCACCAACCTTGTGATTCAAAATAACATTGCAATCCAGTGTTATCCTACAGCACCACACTTGGAATCTGAATGCATCATCCTTTTAAAATAAATTATAAAAAAAAAAAAAAAAACTCTCTATATTAGAATATATATATTATGTTTGAAAGTATACACTCAAAGTATAAGAAAGTTTGACTTCTACTTCTGGAGGCGTAGTTAAAGTGCTAGCCAAAAGGTCAGTAGTTTGAATTCACTATCCAGTCCATGGAAGAAGAATGTGATAGCTTGCTAATGTATAAGATTTACATCCTTGGAAAGCCTATGGGATTGCTATGCACTGGAATCCACTAAACAACATTGGAGTTTTAGAATGAGTGTGCATCTCATCACTGTAGAGTTAGAGTGTGCTGCCACTCAATATCCATTCCTCTTTACTTTGAGTTGAATTCTTGTACTGCAGAGAATGATAATTGGAAAACTGTATTTCCTGGGAACACTAAACCCAAGAGTCTCATATGTGATTTCTGGTATGTTGACCAGATATGCAGGAGAGAGTCAGAAGGCAAAAGTGATTCAGAGGCCTTGTTCTAGTCAATGATATGACCATGATTTCTTAGGGAGCATCAGGTAATTTGGATTAAATAAAGGAAACATCCAGGTCAGTAGTTTCATGAATCTGTCCAATGTTAAACAAGAGCAGATCTAGCAGATACTGTGATTCTTTAACTAACAATTATTTTTTTATTTCCCTACATCTGTATTGCAGAAGCTTTGTCATATTTGTCGAATCAATAATTTCAGTGGAGTCTTCTGGATTCCATACCATCTTAGTGATGGAAAAGGTATCAACATTCATAGCTAATATTGTTTTCAGTGGTATTTTTAGAGTCATTCCCAATATTTGAAGGACATACACAAAGTTTATTTCACAATTTGGTTAGTACATGCTTATAAAGTTTCCATTCAAAATGCTCAAGAAGATATCTTTTAAAGAAAATTACCAAGAGTGGTCAAATATTACAAGTTAGAACTGATCATAAGAAAAAAAACCCTAAAATAGGAATTTGGAAATAAATATTACAACTTTTCAGGTTTTAGGACAATAATGACAGTCTTTAAACAAGACAATTAAATAATGTTTCCATGACTTGCAGTGGAACGTCTGTTTCAGACTAAATCATTAGCATTCATCTTGATGAAATTGCCTGTTGAATGAAGATTTTGGTTAAAAAAATATTTTTGAAAGAAATACACAATTTCCAATTTCTTATACCATATAAAAATAGAGGAGATACGATTCTGCAGCTCATGCAGAGATATGAGATGATGAAGATATAATTTAGGTCTTCATGCTTTTGAGCTCTGTTGCTCATGATTGACTCAGTTACGTAGAGAAAGTTTCTCAGTTAAAAAGTTGTCTTAGGCCCTGCATTATGTCCTTATTTCTAAGACTGTAGATAAAGGGGTTCAGCATGGGTGTGACCACAGAGTACATCACCGAGGCTATTGCAGTGGCCCGGGAAATTGGGGTGACTGCAGAACTAAGATAAACTCCAAGAGCTGTACCATAGAACAAGGAAATGACTGAGAGGTGAGACCCACAAGTGGAAAAGGCTTTAGACTTGCTCCCAGCTGATGAAATTTTCATAATGGAGGATACAATCTTAATGTAAGACAAGAGGATCCCAGTGAGTGGAAAAACACCAAAAAGTCCAGTTGCAAGATACATCACTAAGTCGTTGAGGAAAGTGTCAGAACAAGCAAGTTGGAGTACTTGATTAATTTCACAGGTAAAATGGGAGATTTCCAGTTTTGAACAAAAAGATAGTCGCAAAACCATTAAGCTTTGTAATAAAGCATTTAGAATACTAAATAGCCAGGATGCCAAAAGCATAAGGCCACAGAACTTGGGGTTCATGATGACTGTGTAGTGCAGTGGGTGACAGATGGCCACAAACCGGTCATAGGCCATCACCGTCAAGAGGAAACTGTCTAGGTATCCAAAAAGCATGAAAAAGCAGCTTTGGGTGATGCAACCTTCGTAGGTAATGACTTTATTCTGCATGTAAATGTTCACCAGCATTTTTGGTACAGTGGTTGTGGTGAAACAAATGTCTGCAAAAGAAAGGTTGGAGAGGAAAAAATACATGGGGGTGTGAAGGTGGGAGTTCATGACAATGGTCATGATGATAAGCAGGTTCCCAGTGAAGGTGACTAGGTACATGGAGAGAAACAGTCCAAAGAGGGTGGGCTGCAACTTTGCCTCTTTTGAGAGTCCCAAAAGGATGAATTCTGAAATATGTGTTTGGTTTCCTAGCTCCATGAAGTTGATGAAAATACTGGAAAAGAGAAGACAGAAATGCAAACTTAACCACAAAAATTAACGAATAGACAGATATGCTGCTGTTAATATTTTAAGCACGCTTAAGTTACTCCTGCATAATGTCTAAGCATCTGTTATTGTTATTGTTGTTGTTAAGTGCCATCGAGTTGACTGCAACTCATAACGACCCTGTATAGAGCTTCCAATGAGCCATTAGTGGGTTTGAACTGCAACCTTGTTGTTAACAGTAAATATTCATTCATCATTGAATTAATTATTAATTTATTTAATAATTCTACTCCTGGTATGGTGCTGATCCTATATCGCCATACCAGGAGTCCATTTAAGCATTTGTCATTGGCGTTGTTGTTAAGTGTTGCCAAGTCAGTTCTAACCCACAATGACCCGGTATAAGGTTTCTGAGGAGTAGCTGGTCAGCTTGAACCCCCAACCTTGTGGTTCAACCTGAGTGCTGTCCAGTGTGTTAACCCACAGTGCCACAGCAGGAGCCCTGTCTAAACATCTAGTGCTCTTCAATCGAGAATTTCATGAAACCCTAACAGTTCAATAGTCTACTTGATGCTAACCCCAAACATTTTGCTAATGAAACATTAGTGTTGTTGTTGTTAAGTGCCATCAAGTCAGTTCCAATAGTTTTCAAAGGAGTGGTTGATGAGTTCTTTGAAACTTTGTTTAGTTCGTTCAACAAAATATTTATGAACAATTATTTTATGCCAAGGGTTCTTGACCACACTTCTCTGTCAGTCTGTCATACTGCAATGACTTTCATGTGGCTGGAAGCAGTGCCACCAGTGCTTCAAATACCATCAGGTCACCCTTGATAGACAGATTTCAGCGAAGTATCAAGATTAAGAGCAGACTAGGAAGACGGAATAAAAGGTCCGCTTATAAAAGCCTTATGAATAGCTATAGATCATTGTCTGATATAGTGCCAGAAGTTTAGACCCTCAAGTTGGAAGGCACTCAAAATATGACTGAGGATGAGCTACTGATGAAAATTATACAATGCAGCCTTTAGTATGTTTACAATTCAATGCAAAAACAAACAAGTAAACCAAAAAATTACAACTGGACCAATAAATATCATGATAAATGGAGAAAAGAGTAAAGTTATCAGGATTGTGTTTTGTTTTACTTCTCTTTCTCTTTGTTTTCTCCTCCCACACTTGTTGTTGTTGTTGTTAAGTGCCATCTGCCGTCAAGTCGGACCGACTCATAGTGACCCTAGACAGGGTTTCAGAGGCTGTAAATCTTTACGGGAGCAGAACGCCTCATCTTTCTCCAGCAGAGCAGCTGGTAGTTTCGAACTGCTGGCCTTAGGGTTCGCAGCCCAATTCGTAACCACTATGCCTCCCACACTTACCTCTCAATTTTTCCTTAAACTATTATAATGTTCTCTAAGCCATTAGAAAAATTTTGTACTCTGTAGGCTAACATTATAGTAACCTTTTTACTTATAACAGTGCTTCTCACTCTTTGACATGTTTATAAAATGCAGATTTTTACTGAATAAATTCTGAGTGTAGCAAGGCCTGCATTACTACCAAGCCTGTAGGTGGTATAGCTTCTGATGCTTTGGTACAAGTGTGTTGTTGTTGTTGTTGTTGCTGTTAGGTACCACCAAGTGTGTACCAATTCCTATAGACCTATGCACAACAGAACAAAATACTGCCTAGTTCTGTTAAAAACTCACAATCATTGCTATGACTGACACTAATGTTGCTGCCACCATGTCAATTCATCTCACAGGGGTCTTCCTCTTTTCCTCCAAACCTCTAATCTACCAAAAATGATCTCCATCTCCAGGGACTGGTCACATATGACAATATGTCTGAAGTACTAGAGACAAAGTCTGACCATCCTAGCTTACAAAGGAGCACTGTGACTGTACTTTTTTCAACACAGATCTGCTGGTTCTTTTGGCAGTCCGTGGAACCTTCAACATTCTCCTCCAACAACATAACTCAAATGAGTCAATTCTTCTACTGTCTTCCTTGTTCACTGACCAACTTTTACATGCATGTGAGGTTATTGAAACTACCATGGCTTGGGTCAGGTGCACTTTAGTTCTCAAACTCACATCTTTGCTCTTTACCACTTTAAAAAGGTCTTGTGCAGCAGATTTCACTAAATTCAATACATTGTTTGGTGAGAATTTTTGTTTTCTTTACATTAATATGCAACCCATACTGAAGGCTGTGGTCTTTGATCTTCCTCAGTAAGTATTTTAAGTCCTCTTAGCTTTCAGCAAGCAAGGTTGTATCACCTGCATATCACAGATTGTTAATGAGCCTTCCTCTAATCATGATGCTACACTTTTCTCCATAGAATCCTGCTTCTTTGATCATGTTTTCAGCATATAGATTGAATATATATGGTGAAAGAATACAACCTTTCCTAATTTTAAACCATTCGGTGTAAAAATGAGTAATAATGGTATTAACTGGTTTTCCTTGTTGGCATATGGATATTATCCTATCACAAGAGTGTTGTATTTCAGGACACATCTTGATATGTTCCTTTTGATGATGAATGAAAAGACATTCCTCTTCAATTTGTCATTCCAGGCATAAGAAACTATGAGATTTTTCCATTTCAAAATATCCAATACCAGTCCATTTCAGCTACTGCACAAATGCCTAAGACATCAATGTTTATGCATTCCATTTCATTTTTGACAATATTAAAATTTTCAAGAGTCATACTTAGCCAATTCCATGTTTCTGTTCTTAATGGATGTTTACAGATGTTTCTCTTCATCTTGAGTTGTGCCCGATCAGTAAATGGAGGTCCCCAGAGCTTTATTTACTCCATTTGCATCATGGTCCACTCTTACTTTGAGGAGGCAGCTCTTTTCCAATTGCATTTTGAGTGCCTTCCAATCCGAGGGACTCATCTTCTGGCATAAGATGTTGTAGCTACGTCTAAAGGCCTCAAGCTGTAAGTTAGGCTCCAAGAAGACTTAAGTTCTTAGAATTATTCTAATTGTTCTACAATAGAATTATTCACAAAATATAAATACTACTTCAAATGTGTGAATTACCAATGCAGACTGGTTTATAAATTGTTCAGGTTAAAGCTCAGAATTGTTACTTAAGTATCAAATTTGGCAGTTTTGAGAACATTTTAAAAATCATGGGGGTGTTTTTTGTTTTGTTTTGTTGTTAATTAATTACTGTTAAGAAGAACCTTGTGAAACAAATTATATAGTCTATTACCTCAGGGATGTGTTTTTACTTTATTTTTTGTTTCGTATTTTTAATGCAGACTTTCATATTTTAGACATGTATTTATTTAGTCTCTTACATTGCCTTCTAATTTATTTTATTAAAAAACATTAAACATGGACATTGCCCTTACCTAAAATGAATTTAGTAATAAAGTTAGCAGTACCAAGCCGTAAATGCTTGTTTTCTTGAAACTATCATTAAAGCCAAATATAAAAAGTTCTTCCCCACCTGAAACTATAAAATTGAATGCATTTTCAATGGCTGGTGTCACAAGGGAGAAAAGAGCCCAAGCAACCTTTTATATTCTATTTGTGACAAAAGGAATATTATTTTTAGTCCATAGTGCACCCATGTAAAATTATGGATCAAACAGCTTATACTTTACCAAATTTATATTTTAATAGGAATTGATGAACTGAGACATAAATAATAAAGTGGAGAGGAAGGAAAAGACAGAACGAGTATTAATAAAACAAAATAGTAAATTTGGTATAGACTGTATAGTTTGAGAATTGCTGGCAAAGAGTAGTTGGTCCCTGAGGACAATTTTGCACATTCTGCAATACCATAATGGATGCTCATAAGTACCCTCAGTAATTATTACTAATGTACATATTAAGTACTCTACCATAAAAGACACTATTGGGAGTGTGGTGGCTCCATACAATAAGCTAGAATGTAAACCACAAAGTCCGCAATTTGAATTCACCAGCTGCTGGTCTTGCTGTTAGTACAGCACCACACCAGGGCCCAGAGAATCCTTCAATATTGCAACCTAAGGCATGAATTTGTTCTTCAGTTCTTTCAGCTTGAGAAATGCTGAGTCTGTTCTTCCCTTTTGGTTTTCTAACTCCAGGTGAGAAATTTTGTTATGATAGTATACTTTGTCTTCTTGAACTGTCCTTTGAAATTTTCTGATCAGCTTTTTATTTACTCATTTCTTTCATTAGCTTTAGCTATTAAAGACATTCAAATCGAAACAACATAGACATATCATCTCACCCCAGAATTAGTCACAAAGCTCAAAGAAACAGAAAATAACAAATGCTGATGAAGGTGTGAAGAGACTGAAACCCTCACACACCAATGGTTGGGACATTAAAAGACTGCAACCTCTCTAGAAAACCGTATGTTACTTCCTCCAAAACTTGGAACTAGGAATACCATATGACACAGTGCTCCCTCCAATTGGTATATATCCAAGAGAAACAAGATATTTGTACACCAGTATTCATTACAGCACAATTCATAATATCAAAAAGATGGAAACACCATAAAGACCTTTCAATGGAAAGGTGAGCAATGGAACACTGTGTAACACTGAAGAGTGACTACACAATGTGAAATAATAAAATCAGTGGACCACAAAAGGACAAATATTGTACAATAATACTATTGTATGATATCAGATATTGTATGATACTTAGGGCAAGTTATCAGGAGGGACGAGTGCCTGGAGAAGGACATCATACTTGGTAAAGTAGACAGAGGGTCAGTTAAAAACAGAAAGACCCCGAGCAAGATGGATTGGTACAGTGGTGGCAGCTATGGGCTCAAGAACAACAATGATGCTGGGGATGACATGGGACTAGGGTGTGTTTTCTTCTGTTGTGCATAGGGTAGCTATGAGTAGGAACTGACTGACTTGATGATACCTAACAAGAAAATAACTTCATTTAAAAAGTCAAGAAAAGGCTTTCTCACTAAATGAAACATTTTTAATAGTTACGTGGGATAGGAGGAAAGAGA